CAGGGCAAGATCTTTACCAATCCTACATTAGAAGGCTAATATCCATTATGTACAAAGAACTCAAGAAATTAGACTCCAGACAAACAAATAGCCCTGTTAAAAATGGGGTACATAGCTAAACAAAGAATTCTCAACTGAGGAAACTCGAATGGCCAAGAAGCACCAAAAGAAATGCAAATCAAAACAACCCTGAGATTCCACCTCACACCAGTCAGAATGGCTAAGATCAAAAACTCAGGTGATAGTAGATACTGGTGAGGATGTGGAGAAAGAGGAACAATCCTCGATTGTTGGTGGGACTGCAAGATGGTGCAACCACTCTGGAAATCAGTCCTGCGGTTCCTCAGAAAATTGGACATAGCAGTACCTGAGGACCCAGCTATACTACTCCTGGGCATATACTCAGAAGATGCTCCAACATACAACAAGGACATATGCTCCACTATATTCATAGCAGTCTTATTTATAATAGCCAGAAGCTGGAAAGAACCCAGATGTCCTTCAACAGAGGAATGGATACAGAAAATGTGATACATTTACACAATGGAGTATTACTCAGCTATTAAAAACAATGAATTCGAGAAATTCGTAGGCAAATGAATGGAACTAGAAAATATCATCCTGAGTGAGGTAACCCAATCACAAAAGAACACACATGGTATTCATTCACTGATAATTGGATATTAGCCCAGAAGCTTGAAATACCCAAGATTCAACTCACAGGCCACATGAAGAAGAAAGACCAAAGTGTGGGTACTTTGGTCCTTCTTATAAAAAGTAACAAAATACTCAAGGGAGCAAATATGGAGACAAAGTGTGGGACAGAAACTGAAGGAGGGGCCATCTGCAGACCATTCCACCTAGGTATCCTTCCCATGTACAGTCACCAAAGGTAGATGCTGATGTGGGTGTCAGAAAGTGCATGGTGACAGGAGCCTGATATAGCTGTCTCCTTAGAGGTCTGCAAGAGTCTGCCGTATTCAGAGGCAAATGCTCACAGCTAACCATTGAACTGATCAAGGATTACCCAATGGAGGAGTTAGAGAGAAGACTGAAGGACCTGAAAGGCTTTGTGGCCCCATGAGGAGAGCAACAATACCAACCAACCAGAGCTCCCAGAGTCTAAACCACCTGCCTAGGACCACATAGGGAGGGACCCATGGCTCCAGCTGTATATGTAGGGGAGGATGGCTTTGTTGGGCATAGGTGGGAAAGGAGATCCTTGGTCCCATGGAGGCTGGTCGCCTTCATGGCAAGTATGGGGGAATTTGAGGATGGGGAGGTGTGAGTGGAGAGTGTGGGGGGCACATCCTCATAAAAACAGGAGGAGGGGGGATGTGATGGGGGTTCCTCAGCGGGTGTGGGATGGGGAAATGGGGTAAGGGGATAACATCTGAACTGTAAATAAAATATCCAATAAAAAAATAAAAATAGATATAAATCAAGATCAGGCACTATATTATCATTGAGGAACAAACATCTTCTAAAAACAGACTGCACTCAATGCTGATTGAAGGGCAAGTGTTCCACACATTAAAGAGTAAATCTCACACATCTGCAAAAGTGTGTGCCTAGGTGGTACATGCATGGTATATGCATCCTCTCTGTGGGGAACACTATATGAGTACTCATAATTGTAACATCTAGAACAAGAATAGTCCTGAAAGAACATTAAGCACTATCTCTGTCTTTAGTTCTTAGTTTAAATCTCCTTACATGTTTAAGTCAGACACTGGGATAGATGCACAAAGATTATTACACACACACACACATTTTTTTTTTTGAGTAAGAGAGTATCACGTAGTGTAGGCTTGTTGGGAATTCCCTATGTAGCCAAGGGTAACACTTCATCCTCCTCTCTCCATATCCCAACTGAAGTGAGCCTCCACACACCCCTGGCTTCATTATTATTCCTTTTTCTTTTCTGAGACTCCAAACATCTTACCACACCTAGTTTTATTCGGAGCTGAAGAATTTCTTCTCTATATTAGGGGAATGTCTAGTAGCTGAGCTTCAATCCCTGCACTTACAATGTCAGCTGCACATCTGACAAAAGGCTAATATCTAAAATCTATAGACAACCCAGGAAACTAGACATCAACAAACCAATCAACCAATTATCAAAGGGAGTACTGAGAGTTCTCGACAGAAATTTCTGAAGGCCTAGACGCACTTAAAGTAATGTTTAGCATCATTAGCCATCAGGGAAATGCAATTCAAAATGCCTCTGAGATTCCATTTTACGTCCTTCCCCCCACCTGGAGAATGGCTAAGATCAAAAACTCATGCGACAGTTCATACTGTTGAGGATGTGGAGTAAAGGGGAACACTTCTCCAGTGCTGATGTGAATTCAGACTTGTACAGTCACTTGGGAAACCAATTTTGCAGTTTCTCAGAAAACTGATAATAGATCTACCTCAAGATCCAACTATACCACTCCTAGGCATATAGCCAAAGTATGATCCATCCTACCACAAGGACACTTGCTCAACCATGTGTGTAATTCCTTTATCTGTAAGAGCCAGAAAGTGGAAACAACCTAGATATCACTATGTGGTACATTTACAGAATGGATTATTACTCAGCTATTGAAAACAACATCATGAAATTCACAGGAAAACTTGTGGAACTAAAAAATATCATCCTGAGTGAGGTTACCCAGACCCCGAAAGACAAACATAGTTTGTACTCACTTATAATGTTATATTAGCCACTAAGTAAGAAATAATCATGCTACAATCCACAGGCCCAAAGAAGGCAAATAACAAGGAGGGCTCAGGTGGGGTTGTGTGAAACTCACTGAGAAGGGGAGATAGACTAGAGACCATGAGTGGATGAGGGAGGGGACTAAGTGGGAAAGGGAGTGGGGATGGGAACAGAAGGGATCAGGTAGGGGAGGACAAAGGGAGAGAGTACTGGAAGAGACAACATCAATGGAGGTGGCATCTCTGGGATGAAGTAGACACCTATGGCAAAGGAAACTCCCAGGAATCTGAGATTGATCCTAGCTAAGACTCCTAGCAGTGGGGAAAACAGAGCCTGAACTGGTCTTCTTCTGTAACGAGGCAAGACTTCCAATAGAGGAGAGACTGGGACACCAACCCAGCTACAAAACTTCAAACTACAATTTTTCCTGCCTACACAGGATGCAGGGGTAAAGATGGAACAGAAATTCAGAGAGTGGCCAACCAATGACTGGTCCATCTTGAGACCCATGGCATTAGAGAAAGTACACCATGACATTGTGAACAATATTAGGCTAGACTTGCAAACAGGAGTCCAGTATAACCGTCATCATAGAGTTTCACCCAGCAACTGATGGAAACAATTGCAGAGACCCACAGCCAAGCATTAAGGAGAGCTTGGGGTATCCTATGGAAGAGGGAGAGGAAGGGTTGAAGGAGCCCGAGGAGTAAACGATACTGCAGAAAAACCTAGAGAATCCATTAACCTGTGCTCATGGGGGCTCACAGAGACTGAACTGCCAACCAGAGAGCATGAATGGCTCCTCTGCACACATGTAACCGAGATGTGTAGCTTGGTCTTCATGTGGGACAACTAACAGCAGGAGCAGGCACTAACTTGGTTGCCTGACTGTGGGACCCATTCCCTAGTCTAGCCTCAAAAGGAGGAGATGCACCAAGTCCTACTGCAACTTGATGTGCCAAGGCTGGTTGATATTCATGGGAGGCCTACGTTTCTCTGAAGAGAAAGAAAAGAGGAGTGGATTAGGGGCAGAGAGAGGAGCAAGAAGGACTGGGAGAAGAAAAGGGAGGGGAAACTTCAGCCAGCTCAGGCTTCAGTAATTAATTAATAGAACTAAAAGTTCAAAATAAGGGATTCATCAAGTCAACCAGGACTGCTAAGCTGTTTTGTTTCTCTATATTTTTCCTCCATTTTTGTTTGTGTTTTTTTAAAGATTTATTTATTTATTGTGTACAGAGTTCTGCCTGCATATATGCCTGTATACAAGAAAAGGGGCCAGATCTCATTACAGATGGTCGTGAGCCACCGTTGGTTACTGGAAATTGAACTCAGGGCCTCTGGAAAAGCAGTCAGTGCTCTCAACCTCTGAGCCATCTCTCCAGCCCTTATTTGTGTTTTTTTGTTGTCGTTATTGTTCTTTTGTTTGAGGTGCTGTCTTATACTATTGTCCAGGCTAATGTTGATCTCCTGTCTCAATTTCCAGACTGTTGTTTTCCAGGCATGAGTCACCATGCCATTCTCTGTTCTGTGGCGTGAGAACCAGCATACCTATTGCTATCATAATATGAGGTGATTTGTGTCACCAATGAACTTATAGATTGTATGTCAGAGAAACATGTAGGGCTTAGACTGCTGTCTGCGTTCATGATTTTGCTGTCTATTTGCTTTCCTTAAAGACATATGTTTGCAGGGCAGGGAGGTTGCTCAGTCATAGATTCCTTGCCTAGCATGCACAAGACCTTGGGTTTGATCTCCTTGATTGCAGTAAAGAACAAAAATTAAATAGGAATGGTGGCACATACTCATAATCCCAGAATTTAAAAGGTTGACACAGGAGAATTACAGATTCCCAGACAGTCTGGAATTTGAACATAGCAAGTTCAAAGTCAGCCTGAGCTACACAGTGAAAATCTGTCCCAAGCAAAAATTGAACCAAACAAAATGAAACTTTGCCTCGAACATCTCAAAAGAAACAAGAAGTCAAGCCCACTGCCCTCCAGAGATTGCAGATGGGGTCCAGGGAACCTAGATGTTTATCAGGAATAAAGCTGAAAGAATTTCACCAATAGACTTCTTACAGGAGAAAGGGTAGACTGTATGTATCATGGAGCTAGAGATTGGGTTTTCCTCATTCACTGTGAAGTTCCTGTCTACACATCACTTAAGAGTGCTTCTTAGATACTTGTAGAATTTCCTTAAGTATGATACATTTACAATTGGTAACTGCTGTCCACAATAGTGTTCAGCCACACGATCATGTGCTGCTGAGTCAGAAGAGGGCAGTATTCATTACCGTGGCTTCTGGAAGTGCACAGTGGCTCTGAAGGGCTGGACTCACTTCTGCAGAGGACTTCAGGGTTTGAAGAAATACACAGCTGTGCAGAGGAGATAAAAGTTATAAAATAGTTCTGTGTACTTAAGTGTTTTCATTAGCTTTTCAGAAAACATGAATTTTCAGGGCCAAGAATGAAGTAGAAAGCTAACATTTTCAGTGATTCTGTCAATGCTGCCCTGTGTAAATATTCAGTCTGTGGCTTTCAATAACATAATGCTTTGTGACAATGGTGACTGGGAAGCTGTATTGGACGTATGTTCCCAATCCACCATTGCTTACCTATACCCATGATGGGACAAACTGCCTTGCCTCAAGTTTTTAGACCTTGTGGAACAGAGGCTCAAAATGAGAAATTATAATGACTCTTGTATTGTTCTTAAATGTGACCAGTTATTCGGACTCAATCATGTACTGGTCTAGAAATCAATCCTATATTGGAAATAACAGTCTTCATTTGGAAGTCTGGTTCTGGACATTTTTAGAGACATATATGGAAGTTAGCTGCAGTTCTCTATGATGTTATGTTAGCGAGAGATAAAGTTGGGGCAGGATCTGGATTTCAAACAGGTGTTAGTACATGTGTTAAGGCTCTTTTAATTTTTCTTTTTTCTTTTTTGAAACAAAGTTTCTCTGTGTAACCCTGGTTATCCTAGAACTCACTTTGCAGACATAGTAAAATCTTGTCTCTATCTGTATCTTTGTCTCTGTCTCTGTCACACACACACACACACATACACACACACACACATGCAGCAGAAATAGAACAAAACAAAATAAACAACAGAAGAAGAGCAGGTAAAACTAAAGTTGTGTGTGTCTGTTTGGTTGTCTGTTGTGTATGTTTGTGTGTATCTGTCTGTATGTCTGTGTGTGTCTTTCTCTGTGTCTGTGTGTATGCTTGTGTGTTTGCATGTGTCTCTCTCTGTGTTTGTGTGTGTGTGTGTCTCTCTCTGTGTCTGTGTGACTCTATCTGTGTGTCTGTGTGTATGTCTGTGTGTATGTGTGTTTGTCTCTCTATGTGTCTGTGTGTGTGCCTGTGTGTTTGCATGTGTCTCTCTCTGTGTCTGTGTGTGTCTCTCTCTGTGCCTGTGTGTCTCTATCTGTATGTCTGTTTGTATGTCTGTGTTTATGTGTGTTTGTGTGTATCTCTCTGTGTCTATGCATCTGTGTTGATATGGGTGTCTGTGTGTATGTGTCTGTGAGTATGTCTGTGTGTGTGCCTGTATCTTTGTGTCTCTCTGTCTATGTCTGTGTCTCTCTGTTTGAGTCTCTCTGTGTCTATGTGTCTCTGTGTGTGTATGTGTGTGTTTGTGTGTGTATGTGTGTGTTTGTGTGTATGTCTGTGTGTGTTTGTATGTCTGTATGTCTGTATGTATGTGTTTATGTTTGGGTGCATTTTATTCTCTCTGTTTGTCTCTCTCTGTTTCCCCGTCTCTGTCTCTGTCTCTCTTCTTTGTGTGTGTGTGTGTGTATTTGGTAAAAAGATAGTGAACTGAAAATCAGGACCATGTTTGCCCCTGGATGAGGACAAGCATCAACTAGGACCTGGAAGTGTCAACAGGGGCCTTCTAAGGCATTGAGGGACATTTATTTGCTGACATCAGTGCTTAGCTCATAGGCCCTTTATTGTTATTGTCCTTTGAACCAGATGTGTAACTGCATTAGTTACTCATAACAGCATGCTGGTTTGTAATTAAAACAAATCTCCACTGATAGATTCTAGACTAACTTTAAATACAACTAGATTGCCTTCCAGTTTATCATCCCAGGGATTAAGAAGAAGGTCTCTGCGTTCTCAACAATTTCCTACAAACTACTTCAAAATAAAAAAAGGGGTGGCCTGGAAAAATGGCTCAGCAGAAGAACACTTAGTTCTCCTGCAGAGGACTCAGGCTTGGTTCCCTATATCTTTATCCGACAGCTCACAGCCTCCTGCAATTCTAGTTCTAGGAGATCTAATGCCCTCTTTCTGACCTCTGTGGAGTCAAGGCATGCAAGTAGTGCACAGATACACGTGCAGATGAAACGCCCATGCACAGAAAGTCAAGTTCTTCAAAGTATTCTTTAAATAAGATGACGACTTATGTAAGAAACGGTAACTACTGCTTGCAATCATCTTTTAACTTCAAGAGTAGATGGAAATATTCTATTCTACTATTTATTTATTTATTTATTTATTTATTTATTTATTTATTTGAGTGGAGAATAAGTCTTGCTATATAGTCCTGTGCTGGTCTGAAACAGGTGATTTTAGAAGGGAGGAGATTAAGGGGTTCAGAGAGAGATAAGAGAGGGTGATGGATGTCATAAACTGTTATGTACATATACATAATGTAAAGGTCATAATATATACGAAAATGTCACTATTACATGTAATTAATATATACTAACAAAACACTTTAAGAGAATATTTTAGGGGTTTGGGACATTATTACCATTCTATCTTAAGATCAGATAATTATTTAAAATTTTACTTTTTAATGTTTAATAGTTAGATTCAAGTCAGTTTAGAGCAATTTCTAGGTATGAATTGGATGCACAGAGAACACTACTGTGGTGCTGACCTGAGGCTGCAGAGTACCCAATGCAGTTGTAGATTTTCATGAAGAAGGGCAGAAAAGGGGGCGAGAGTAACTCAATAGAAAGGGATTGCCTAGCATGCCCAAGTCAGTGCTTCCGTCCCCAGCACTGGAGAAAGAACAGCACTTGGGACGTCTCAGACAGCAGAAAGAGAAAACAGTAAAGCATTCCAGAGGGAGGGGAAGAGGAAGACTAGTTGGTAATCAAAAGAATCAGAAAGGCATGGAGTTTCCAGACATGGCAGCCCCTCTGAAATGCCAGCACTTGGGTGGCTGAGGCAGGAGGATCATGGGTTCAAGTCCTACGTGGGCTAGATAGAATTTCTATGATAGTCTGGGCTACATAGAGAGACCCTGTCTTTGAGAGTCTGTAAATTGACCCAACCTAAACCAAGATGTAACTATGAAGAGAAAAAAAGCTGGACACAGATGGCGTCATGGGAGGCAAGGGACAAAGAGATAAGGATGTGTCCTTCACAGAGGGAACAGAAGGGTGGGCAGAGACCATCCACAGGTAAGACATGGACAGTGAGGAAATAACAGTTGAAGCATGTTCACAGTCGAGAGAAATCATTTTGCTCACTTGGGAAAAAACTTGGTGTGATCTTCCATTGGGTCATCCCCTTCCGCCCACTTCTCCATACATCCTCCACAGGAAAAACACCGGACGATGTCCTTTGTGCCTAGAAAAGGGAATGGGGTCAGTTCAACAGCACGTACATTGTCCAAATCACAAGACGACAGCTCCAGATGTTCAGATTTACTGTACATTCACAGACACAGGCAACCAACAAGCAATCGTTAAATGAGTAAGTCAGAAAGAATGTACTCATAGCCGGGGCGAGACAGAAGTACAAATTAAGAGTCTCCATGGAATCTAGATTGTGAAGAATCACTCGTCTCTCCTCACATTATTGTCAGGTATGTTTAACTTGAAATAGAAGCACATCATCCGTGAGACTTGAGGAAGGCTGGCAAGAGGAGACGAGCGTTAAGACCATGTGGTAAGATCATCTGAGCCAGTGGAATATGTCTTTTGGATGAGGTGTCTGCAGAATCCTCAGGTTCAGAGGCTGAACACTGAGGAAGCTATGGGAAACTGAAGGTCTTATGAGCCCCCAAAAGATCGATGACAAATGATGACGAACACAGAAAAATGTAAGAGGATTCGAATATGTGGTCCACACTAATCTGACCCTAAAGAGTTGCTCAGCATGAGAGCAGTGGCTGCTCTTGCAAAGGAGACAGGTTTGGTTTGAGCATCCACATGATGGCTCACAGCCAATTGTAACTCCAGTCCCAGGATCCAACACCCTGTCTGGCCTCTGAGGGTAGCATGAGGGCATGTGGCACACATACTTACATGCAGGCAAACAGAAACGCATATGCATAAAGAAAAAATCTGACTCACCTGTGTAGAAAAGGCCTGCTTTGACCAGAGCTTTAACAGCCACAGGTGATTTGTGGGGCCAGTCCTTAAACGTGTCCATCCTTAGTTCTTCATTAGCAAAGACACTGTCATTGCAGTAAGCTTGGGAAAAAAGATGGAGGTGAGACCAGCAGGCTTTGATGGCAAAGTTCAAGTTAGGTGTGTGTGTGTGTGTGTGTGTGTGTGTGTGTGTGTGTGTGTGTGCATGTGTATGTGTAGGTATGTACGTTTGGAAAGACCACAAGCTCAAGGTTCATTTGAATTTGAGGCCAGTCTGTGGTAGGAGAGACCCTAAGAATTTCTTCCAAAACACTTTATCCAAAATTTTAGTTGTTTGAAGGGAAGCATCCATTGCAGCACCAACACTACATAGTAATGTTTACCTAGGCTAAAATCTAAGCCACTTACTGAACAGCTCCATGGTACAGAGGCTTGCCACTAAACCTAATAGCCTTATAAGTAATTCTCTCATGAAAGGAGAAAACCAACTCCAGAAGTATCCTCTGACTTCCACACACTCACATTTGGGACCCATGGACATACACATACAATGATAAGTGAAAAATTGAGTGTATTTTTACATTTTACTTTTAAAATTTTCTTTCTTTTTCAAGTAGGTGTTTTGTCTACATGTTTGACTGCACCACACGTGTTCAGTGGCCACACAGGTCAGAGGAAGACACTGGATCCTCTAAAACTGGACTTACAGCATTGTGAGTTGCCAGAGGATGCTGGGAACTGAACCTGAGTCCTTTGCAAGAGCAGCAAGTGCATTAACCACTGAACTGTCTTTCCTGTTCATAAAGTAAAAACAAGAACAAATCAAAGTCATTACATGATAGGGAAATCACTCATGAAGATAAGTTTTAAAGAAGAGCTAGAGAGATGGCTCAGTGGTTAAGAACACTGACTGCTCTTCCAGAGGTCCTGAGTTCAGTTCCCAGCATCCACACAAGACAGTTCACAAATGCCTGTTACTCTCTGTCTATGTCTGT